GTTCCTCTTCTCCTCCCGACAAAGGTGAGGCATCGTGGTCAAATCAGGCGCTGGTCAAGACAGACAGTGAAATCAGATCAATTGGAATTTTCTGACCGTTGGGCATTTAAAACAAACATCAATTTTCAGTTTCCAAGGACTCTCAAGCAATGGAAATTTCCAAACCTTGGTGGCCATTTTCTCGCTAATTTCATCTCTGAAACAAGGTGACCCGAACCTTCTTCAATCGCAAATATTTCGACTTTCATTCAACATAGATGGTTAATTTTTTTCACCAAAAGCAAGACAAATGAACAGGCTATAACCTCCTAAGCCCAAAAATTCGTGAGCGCCTGATTCCACGACGTCACGACACTAATATATTCGCAGAGCCTCGTGCCCCCGGCCGGCGCTAGGCCAAAGACAACACTTGTCTCCGCTGAAATATTGCCGCCTTGTTTGTGGATTGTCCCCTGGGATCGGCTCCCTGTGGAGATTTATCGTCTGTGCACACAGTGGCTCAAGCGATGATGGGACCACTCGATGGGCGAAGGACGTACGGGGGGAAACATTATGTTCAAAATATTGATGACTTGGTAGTTTGTGGCTGGTCATGTTCCGCAAATTGTGTCACGTCGGGGGGGAATCAGGCGCTCGTCAATATCGGGGCTTATATTATAGTTATTGATACCGTCTTAAAACTTGTTCATTTGTCTTGCACTTGGCGGAAAAAATTCCTCTCTATCTTAAATTTACGTTGCGATATTTGCGATTGAAGGGGGTGGGCGCGCCTGGTATGAGAGGTGAGACTACCGAGAAAATGGCCTGGTATGAGAGGTGAGACTACCGAGAAAATGGCCACCAAAGTCTGGTGGCTTTCAAAGCTTGAGTGTCCTAGGAAACTGGAAATGTACTTCTTTTTTTTTCGTGCCTTTAATGAACGTTTTTAGGCTTCATCTACTCAGAAATTCGTTTTCAAAAGGACATAAAAGATGTCTAGATACAAATAAAAAGTTTGAAAAAATCAAATTCTTAGCGCCTCAAAAAATGCCGTTTTCGTTGATTTCTTTGTTTTGACGAGCGCCTGATTTCACCGCATCGCCTCACAATTATTGTATACTTGAAAAGAAATCAGTGATGGTTGCTTTTGTACTTAACGATGTTGATCTTGTCGTAATAGAGTCATAGGCTTGTGTGTGTGTGGGG